GGATGGTGAACTATTTTTGGGATGCCTTGGACTTAGAAGTGCCGGAGAGGGCAACATAATTGCCTAACATGACAAGCATCCGGTTTTGAAAGCAACACAATAAGGACCACTAATACTATAATATTATTAATTTAGAAAGAAAAGGGTTTTATATTTTTTAATAAGTGCTTTGAAATATTATTATTATGCATGTTATTTTAGACATAAATGGGTTTACAATTTATTAAGGTTTGACCCATTTTAGTTATCCGTCCCAAAGCCTTCAAACACTTATGACCAGCCTTGGTACGTTCCCATGTTAAGGTTCACCCATTTTAGCTATCAACTTTTCTAAAGGTGATGATCCTTTTTGATTGTACGGTGTCGACATATATAACAATTCATTTTTATAATGTTTCCTTATGACCATCGGATGATACACTTAAATTGTGGAATCATCATGTTTCATTTACAACTTGCCCTTTGTTTTAAATTTATTTTCAATTTTTCATATGATCACCATTTTCATTTTTCCTACAAACTATCATTATATAATCAATGTTAAAACATATAAGCTCTGCGATATTTTTTATTTAAGATAATAACATATTACGTATCATCATACGATTCATACACAAAGTTAATTTTAAACAAATTGTTATTCTTCTCTAGATATACCCGTGCATCGCACGGGTATTACGTCTAGTATGTATAAAATATATGTAAAGTGACTAGTCTAGTTTCTTATGACTATGTGATGCTATCTTTTCAGTTTTATGGACGATGATGTCTAATTTTCTACATTTCAAAATTTGATGTTATTTAATGTGTGTGATTGTGTGGTATTTATTTTATACATTTGTGGTTAGATACAACAACAACATCCAAGCCTTAGTCCCAACAGATATTGGAGTCGTAAATCGATACACGATATCACCACCAAAAGGAAAAGAAAGAAAATAAAAATAAAAAGATAAACTAATATAAAAAGATAATATAAAAGAGATTAATATACATAAAAATGATAAAATAAAAAGGATACAAATAGTGTTTTTATATATAAGTAGGAGTGGACTCAGGTCGGGCCAACCGGCCCGAAACCGGACCGGCTCGGTGAACCGGTTGGTTGACCGGTTCGGGCCACCCGGCCCGGTGGGATGGTGGTTCGGGCTCGGTCCCTTCAAAAGGTGAACCGGCCCTGCCGGTTCGGACCCGGGTCGGGCCGATTTTTTTTTAATTTTTTTAAAGTTTTTGGGTTGGGTTGGGTATTTTGGGCCATTTGAGGTGGTTAGGGCTACCCGTGCGGGTACCCTACCTGTTCACAAATTGGACGTAGACCAAGGTTCGAATAGCAGGGGAATTCTTACAGAGCGATTCTTTGCCATCAGAAGTGTTAGTGATACTGTAGCAACTACCTTGAAAGGTAAAATATGTGATGTGCTTGGTCATCATGACCTCCAACTTTCAAAAATGAGAGGCCAAGGTTATGGTGGTGGGAGTAATATGTGAGGTTCATTTAATGGCCTTCAGGCATTATTTCGTAGAGATTTTCCTTATGCATATTACATTCATTGTTTTGCACATCGCTTACAACTTGTGTTGATTTCTGCGGCTAAGGATGTTAGCTTAATTTGGGAATTCTTCTCTCATTTGGATAATATTGTTAATATTATCACTTCTTCACCAAAGCGGGTATCGGAGTTGCACGTGTCTCAAAGAACTGAAATTAAGAAGTTATTAGCAACCGGGGAACGCGAGTTGGGACGTGGTGCAAATCAAGTTGGTAACTTGCAACGATCCGGATCTACTCGTTGGGGTTCTCACTATAGCTCCGTGAAGAGTTTGATAAACATGTATGCCGCAACTTGCAAAGTGTTTGAACATTTGGTTGAGAATTCTCCAAATGGAAGATCTAAAGCTGAAGTTCTTGGGACCTATAGAAAAATGACAAGCTTTGAATTTATGTTTGTCTTACACTTGATGCATAAACTTCTGAGAATAACTGATGCTCTTTGCCAGGTTCTTCAAAAAAAAAACTCTGGATATTTTGAGTGCTATTACATTTGTTGGTACTACTAAAACTATCCTTGTAGAGTTAAGAGCATCTAGTTGGGAGGAATTTCTTAAAGAAGTCAAGAGTTTTTGCTCTTCAAATGATATTGATGTTCCAAATTTGGGTGATCCATATAAGATTGGGCGTTCTCGTTTCCAACCAACTATAGAACATCATTATCATTTTGATGTCTTCAATGAAGCGATTGATTTTACTTTGACTGAGTTAGACACACGCTTTAATGATACATCCATGGAACTTCTTCAACTTAGTCTTGCTTTGGATCCCAATAACTCCTTCAGCTCATTTAACAGTGAGGATATCTGTAAACTTGCAAAAACGTTTTATCCTGCAGATTTAACTGATCAAGACATTGTCTCACTTGAGTATGAGTTGATTTACTACAAGCATGATATTGTTTCAACATCTGAATCGTCCACACTTGTTGAGTTATGTCAACATTTGACAGAGAGTGGGAAATCAGAAATCTATGTTATGTTGATGAGACTAATTCGTCTAGTTTTGACCCTACCTGTTTCTACGTCCAAAAGGTTGAATCCCCAACCCCAAGCCCCCCCACCCCCACCCCGACCCGACAGGATGGTGGGGGAGTAAATCACGGTGACTCGGTCGGCAAAGCGGCAGTAGGCCTTTTACCCGTGTGCACCAGAGGGCCAGCCTTAGATAATAATCGCCATCTGCTCCTGTTTAGATATATCTTGTGCTTCATCAACAAGAATGCATAAACAACTATTTGCAATTTTTTCACGAACCATTTGACGAACTCTATTCGCCATTATATTCAAGATCTCTTTTTGAATGTCGGGAGCAATGTACTGAGCATTTTTAGGAGCATTCTCAAGTACAACTTCATGAACTTTGGTATTCATAGTCGCAAAAGCTTTCACTAGTTCAATAAAATTTCCCCGATTTGATGATGTAACAGATTCATCATGACATCTAAAGGCACAACCTTGAAGTGCCAACCATCGGACATTTATAATAGAAGTTCTCAATCGCAAACGATTTTTCTCCTTTTCTTGTTGCGATTGGGCATGAAAAACATTCTTAATATGACCAGATGGTTACTTCAAATTTTCAACTCTTTGAACACACATCATATGAGGTGATTTTTCTGAAATACCAATTGTTGAAGAAATGCACATTGACTTCCTTGATTTACCCTCTTCCAACTTTGAAATCCTTCGTTAACTAATGCAGAAGTAGTATGCATATGAATGTCACTCAAGAAAAGGAAGCATAAAAAAAAGTAAGCTTTTTCAGTCACAAGTGAGTACTCTAACCAATTAAACTTGTCAAACAAGTGTTTCTAAAAACTTCGGTTTTGAGCTCCAAACTTTTTCACTGGATAAGCTTCCATTCTCGGTTGATAAGGCCCAACATTTAGATATGCACGTCTAACTTCATCTCGCACATTAACATGGTATTCATGAATTTGTTTTCTTTTTCCTGGATCCCTCTCAATGGAAAAAAGATGAAGGCAACTCAAAATTGGAGATAGGTTGGATTTCAGGGACTAGGACATGTGGAGGAACCTCATTGACTAGATCTTGCACTATCGTAGGTATAAGTTCAGAACTTCCTTCACCGGTTTGACGATTCACTTTCGAAAAGAATGATGAAATCAACTTCTTTCCCTTCTTGGCAACATGTTCATTATCCATTCTAAAAAAAACATTTTCAATATTGGTATAAATTAAAATACTTATATAAAAAATATAACTAATAAGGAACTATTTAACTAAATCTTGTATGATTCCCTAGCCAGTAGCCCTAAAACTCTAAAATGCACAATTCACAGATTAACTCATTCACTCTAAAATGCACAATTCACATATTCACTCTAAAATTACTCGTATTGTTCACTCTAAAATGCACAATTCACAGATTCACTCATTCAAAGTTCACAAATTCACAGCAGAAGTTCATAACTTCACTAATTCACAAATCAAAATTCAACACTAAGTCACCAAGAGGATTTACTTGGTCTGGACTGCTCGTTGCTGATCAACTGGTCGAGACTCGAGAGAGGGAGGCAGAGGCTTCGGCGGCTCGGCGCGTCGTTGCTGTTCACGTCTCCGGCACGACGGCACCGGCGGCAGGTTCAACTTGGTTCTGTCGTTGCTTCAGTTCGGACTGCGGAGCACTTCCGAGTTCCGTCGCGGTGTCGCCCAAATCACAATTGCCCGTTCCGTTCGTCCCTTCGACAGTTCGACTTCGCAAGTTGGCGTAAGGGCCTAAGGGGTAAAACTGCGTTCTGGGTTGTTGACTGGTTTTTGTGGGCTAGGCTGGGAATTATTTGTGGGGTGGGCTGACAATTAAATTTAGGGTGGGCTGAGAATTGAAAATATACCAATACTATTAAAAAAAAAATTGGGTTGGGCTGAAGCCCACCCCTGGCCAGGAGGCTACCATCCGCCCCTGACGGACACTTGTAGTACAATCCTCATACATATCCATGATGATGCTGATATACTTGCGTGATATACCTTTTCTAGTTAAGGCCCACTATAGAACTTCTCGAGGTACCCTATCATATGCTTTTTCTAAGTCAATGAACACCAAATGCAGATCCTTGTGAGCGTCTCTATACTTCTCTATAAGTTGTCGAAGAAAGTGAATGACCTCAGTTGTTGAGCGACCAAACATAAAACCGAATTGATTTTTTGAAATCTTCACAGTTTTTCGAAGTCTTTGCTCAATCACTCGCTCCCAAAGTTGTTTTTATATTTTTATTTTGAATTTTTAATATATAATGGTGACATTGATACTTAATTAGTTTGACTCTTTTATTACCTACTAGATTTTTTGTTAGCGTTGCGTTAGTTGTTTACAAAAAAAGAATCGAGAATCTGGATCGAACCCTATTTCGATAATTGGTATGCCCGAAATAAACTTACCTATAAATGGAACCGATGATTATCGAAAATTTATCAATTATTCGAAATGACAATTGTTTAAATTTTATCACTTATCCGAACCGACCCCGGATGGTTCTTCTAATTATTCCTAATCCCAGAAGGGCATACATGTCCTTCCAAACTGAATAGTGGTGCGCCTAGATGACCGTTTTCTTGGGCAAGAGGAAAGGTTTACAATACTTTGAGCTTTCTACTTCTTTTTCTTTTGGATAACCAGTTCTTTCCCGGATCTAAAACCTCTAGCTTTCAAGCATGAATGTAAGTGTTTGGTGTTATATTGCACATAAGATCATTGAAACTTGATTTCAATTCTTTCTTCTAAGTTTTAAAAATGGTCGTAGATGGTGGATTCAACGACTCCGACTCAAACCAGTTTGCTGGATTCCCGGAACAATTCGCAAAGAACTATGTACATACGCTCAATCCCTCTCTCTACATATATTTTACGTGTAGCACATAGTTGTTACGGCGTCTGCAAGTCGTCGAGGCGACGCGCAGATCTTGTTTTTTTTCAATCCGACCCAGCGTCGGCCAGAGATCTAGGCCCTTAGCTATTCATCCCGTCGGCCAGGTCGCTGACGCAGGTCGGCGCCCCAGATGGCCGTCGGATATCGCCGCCGCTACTCCACCTCTGCCTCCACCCGCCTCCATTACTCTCGCTCGTTCCAGGTTTTGAGACTTGCAGACTGTTCAAACTGAAGTAGACAGCTCACCGCTGTGCTATGTTTTTTACTGTTCTGCTACTCTATTGCTTTTATTCCTTTCACGAGCATAACTGGAGACAGCTGGAAACCCTTTACCAAATCTATCCATCTTTGGATAGCTGGACCGATATCTATTTTATGTTTATTTTCTTTGTGAAAATTTGTACTCCGTATTGAACATCAGTTTTATATAATAGATAGTATAATATACTAATATAAATTATTTGTTGTTTGACTTGTTTTACACACACACATAAATATTTTAATTTAATGTGTAATATATTATCCTCATCATGTTAGCCGACCCCAATATCGTTTGGGACTAAGGCTTGGATGTTGTTGTTGTTGTGTAATATATTATCCTCCGTTCTTTAATTCTTGCAACAGTTTGACTTTTCACGTTTGACACACACAACTTTGATCGTAATTATATTTAATTATGTATTAGGAAACATTATAAAAGGTTGATATTTTGGAATTCACATTGATAGGAATTCAATAACATTTTATACGTAATAATTTGATTATGTATCATCATTCATCATCATCATTACCCAGTGCCGCAAAGGCTCCCACCTACGGTGGGGTAAGTGGGAGTCGGATGTACGCAGTCTTACCCCTGTACTAAAGCACAGAAAGATTGTTTCCGAATGACCCATAGTGAAAATCGCGTCGAAAATTGCATAGGCTGACTCTTACTTCATAACAAAGAAGTGCAAACAGTTTAGTGAGCCATTTTGCTTTATTCCATCATATTCTCAAGCCAAAAAATAGCGAGTCTTTGGATCCAATTTGATTATGTATATTAGTAGAAAATCGTGGTCAAAGTGAGGTTTGTGAATAGTGCAAAAATCACAATGTTGCAAGAATTAAAGAACGGAGGAAGTATTATTTTATTCTATATAAATTATATATTATACGAAGTTTGTTGTTTCATATACATTTTTTATTTAATACAAAGTATGTAATATATTATAAATTGTTTTATTATGTATGTATATTTAAATAGCACATGTGAAATGACATGTTGCCTAGTTGTCACCTAGGCGGGTGCCTAGTTGTCGCCTAGGTGATATGGCGTTTGGCTGGCGCCGCGCCTAGTCTTCATAACAAGTATGGTGTATCAGTGTGTTTTTGCTTGTCTGTCAGCGTACTAAGATCGGGTAGGGATCTATAGGTGAGCTAACTTGTTGGCTATAAAAAATGTGATTGTTTCTTGCAGATGTAGTTAAATATCAGAAGGAATCTGATCCTGATCATTCTTCCTTTCTTCAATAAAAATGAAGGAATCTGATCCTGATCATTCTTCCTTTCTTCAATAAAAATGAAGGGGAGGAATGGGCCATAGAAACTAGGGTAAAAGTGTGTGTACGGTTAACCTCTAAAATACCAATCAACATTCACAAAACCTACCTGTGTACTTATTCGCCTAGGTGACAACTAGGCGACATGTACTATTTAAATATACATACATAATAAAATAACCGTCTCTCCCGTTAGGCCACTGTTAACGGAATGAAAAGAAATATTCGACATCAGGCTAGGGTGTTGGGGTCTGATCCAAGATATAACTTGATATTGAAGCTCAGTGTTAAATTTTTTTGGTAGCAGCCTGCATTTTGAACCTCTTTATAATTTTTAGCAGATTTCTTCATACAATGGTCAGTGCACCACGCCACCATTGTTGTTTAGCATTCCAAATCCCCTTGACCATTGTTGCTTCTATGATCTCATTACCCTTATTCAGAGATCAATATGCCTTCCAAATGGACCAGAAAATAACCCCTAGAATAATAGGCCTCAACTGTCCTAGAAAAGTAGATTTAGAAGCTCCCAGCCACCACAAATAAAGGCACTGCCTGATACAGGGAAGAAAATCTGCAATCATCTTAGAGTATAGGATACTGAAGTGCTGCCAAATTTGTAACGCATATGGGCAGGCATATAAGACATGGCCAGTTGTAGGATAAATTCTAATGCACCACTTGCATATTGAAATGAAGGAAAATGTAAATTGAATCTAAGTCAGGTTTTCAGTTAATGGGAGAAACTTGGAAAGCCACTAGAGGAAAATGCTCATATGTATGCCTTGATTGGAGTGCCATATAAATTCATTAGAGAAAATTGGTCCAATGCTTCTTCTGATTGAGGAAAATGAAGTAGTCATGGAGAATGTATTTGTTTTGAAATTTGAAATAAAAAGAGTTAGTCTATCTCAGCTATTTATATGCTTTTGTAGTTATGTTGTTCAATTGTTTTATATTACTCTCCCTCTATCTAGAGATGAGAGGCATGTAGGTAACTTAAGAAAGGTGCGGAATCTCTCGTGAGTGCTCTTAATTTGTTGTTTATTTCTGTGATAGTGAACATGATTAAACTTGTGCATAAATTTGAGTCTTTGTTTTCATCATTTTTGAAAAAAATCCGTATTTTATTTTGAGTTATAGAAGAAAAATGACATCTTTACCTTTATTTTTAGATATTACGGAGTACTTTTTATCACTTTTAAATGAATTCATTTGATAAAGTTTAGCAAAAAATATTATTTTAATAATGGTAGTATGTTAAGATACACCCTCTGCATGTAGCTACTGGATTTGGGAATATCTTACTTCTATCATTTGATCTGTGGAAGACTGTTGTGAAGACAACTAATGTTTATTAACTATAAACGATAAATTAAACAGTAAGAGTATATATACTGAAGCATCATTACTGAGCTACCAAAAACAACAATAACATCCAAGCCTTATTCCCAAAAGATTTTGGGGTCGGCTAACATGAATCGATCCATGATATCAGAGCCAAAATGAGAAGAATGAGATCACCATAATCTCTGATCAATATTCCCATATTAGCAACCTTATTCTGTTTTCGAGTCGCACCATTATTAACTTTGCATGGTTACACCAACCTAATTCAATTTTGTCCCAAGCTTCTTTTCTGATTTCTTGTTTTTTCCTTTTCAGCGTATGAATTTGGTGTTAAGACTCCACTCCCCACAGTTCACTGACGAGCCAAATGTTGATTTTTTTTATTCAATAGTTCCCTCATGTTAAAGTTTATTTCTAGCCTCAGAATTAATGAAAATTCAAAAGCAACATTGATAGTTTTATGAAAAGTGGCCATGGTCTCCGCACTATTACAGCTGCCACATCTAGATGCCAAAGAAATTACAGTCCTGTTTACAACAGATCAAATTCAAAGTTCTGCAAAAAAGGCATTTTGGGGATCCGTGATATATTCCTATTGAAAGTTTGAAACCAGTGGCTGTTATTATTATTTCTCAGAAAGTCGAAGCATTTTTTTATTACAGAATTGGCCATCCCTACGTAAGCACCAGTCACGTACATCCTTTCCCATCAGTGTGGGGATATCCAATCTGCTCAACCTTCTCAACATGAACAAATGCAGTAGTTTAAACTCATCCCCTTAGAACTTGATGATATAAGTGATTAATAAGCCTTTCAGTGTTTTTTAAAAGCAACCTCAGAATTATGCACCTCTCTTATTTTTATATTAATTTTAATTTCAATTACAACACCAAATCGATATATCATTCCTATATACCCTATTAGTAAAAATGTTTTAATATTACGTTATGTGCATATCTTATACATGTAGTGTACTTTCAAGTTATCGTCTCCGACCCAACTAATAATGCAATATTCAATGGTGTATGAAATTGTTAATTAAGAATACTGTTTAATACAGTCTCATCAATCTTTTTGTATAGGTACCCCTATGTAACAGGCACTTCAGTGGTTGGAATAAAATTCAAAGATGGTGTACTAATGGTTGCTGATATGGGAGGTAGTTTTTTTTATTCCAAATCAGTTAGTTTCATACGAAGCAACGGAAGTATACTCATATGAGTTGTTTGTTAGGAGTCTGAGTAAGGACACGATCCACTGTAGCCAGTGGTGTACCATTACCTTTCTGCATCACAAGTGTTTACATTGTAGAATAATCCCCCCCCCCCCCCCCCCCCCCCCCCCCCCTGTTTTGAGACAGCGTCGGAATAAGCTTTTCTTTCCTTCTCTCTTTCTTTCATAATCTCTATACATACATGCACTCACACACACACAAATGTACATATATTTGTAGACACTCATGTACATCAGTACATATACACACATGCATGTGCCATGTATACGCATCCACATCCACATATATGAACACATACCTATATAATACCCACACACATATAGTCGTATACATTTATATTGTATATAGGTGCGTATATATATAAATGTATATATATACGTCGGTGTGTGTACTACTGTCTGTTGGAGTAATGGAGCATTTGGATTCCAAGATCCAGATTTTAAGCTAGGACACGTTCTCTGACATCTAAATCTACTTAGAAGGCTTATGGTAGTATACTTAATATGAGATGTTAAATCATGATGTATGGGCTATGGACAAAGATCTGCCACCTGGCGCATCAGAAGACCACCAATCTTCACAAGTTCCTAAGGCAGATGACACAATATCAGAAATGTCATTCGGCCATGGCTGCCATTTAGTGACACTGACTCATTGATGGATGTATTTTGATCTAGCATTTATGGTAATATTCTTTATCATTTATCATTTAAAGGGTCTTACGGGTCCACCTTGCGTTACAAGAGTGTGGAGCGATTGAAGCCTGTTGGGAAACACTCCATTGTTGGTGCAAGTGGTGAGCTTAGTGATTTCCAAGAGATATTGCGCTACCTTGATGAGCTTATGTACGTTTTTTGAACTATATTGCTGTTATTTTGTGACCCAATGTTGATAAAACCTTCTTTATAACTGAATTATGTTTTCAACTAAACTCTTCAATGGGTGGACAGCTTATACGACAATATGTGGGACGATGGAAACTCATTGGGTCCCAAGGAAGTTCACAATTATCTTACGCGTGTAATGTATAACCGACGGAATAAGTTCAATCCTCTTTGGAATTCCCTCATCCTTGGTGGTGTGAAGAATGGACAGAAGTTTCTCGGAACGGTAAAACACACCCACATTACATTCTTTTCTTATGCATACAGCATTAAGAAGCTATTTTACTTTGTTGAGAAGTAATTTTCTGAGTACTGCTCCTAGGTAAATATGATTGGTGTGCACTATGAGGACAATCATGTGGCTACCGGATTTGGGAATCACCTTGCTCTGCCCATTCTGCGTGAAGAATGGAATGAAAACATGAGTTTTGAAGAAGGTGTCAAATTGTTGGAGAAATGTATGCGTGTGCTTCTCTATCGTGATAGGTCTGCTGTGAACAAGATCCAGGTATATGAAGTTTCCTCTGGGTCCATCTGGAATCTAGAAAATACTAGGGGAAGAAATTGTAGTGGAAAATAGACGCGACCTTAGAAAGGAAAATGCGTGTGCGCGCGGGGTGGGGGGGTGGGGGGGGGGGTATAAAAAGGTTCAAGCTCAATCAAGCAATTATAGATGTTTTATGAACCCTATTAAATCTAAATATATGTAAATTAAAAACTGGTTTTTAATACTTGTATTTTCCAAAGAAACCTAAAATGAAAAATTACGTATTTCTTAGCCTTATTTTTTGTTTCCTTCTACTTTCCGTTTTGCAAGCATAGTCTTGCCATTTTGTGGATTTCATTTCTGAACTGCCGATACAGTAAAGTGGAAGCAGTCTTTCTGTCCAACTATCATCATTTATTCGTCACTTTCCAATGCTATCCATTTGAAAGAGATGGGGGTAGATAAGTAAGATACCAAAATTGGACACTAACCGGATGAAATTGCAGATTGTGAAAATCACTGAAGAGGGTGTGACCTCATACCCGCCATACTCGTTAAAGACATATTGGGGTTTCTCCGCTTTTGAGAATCCAACAGCTGGTGCTGAAGGTTCATGGTAGTCACCGGCTCTCAGATGAGAAAAAACAAAGCTCTAGCAGTGTTTTGGTTGAAACAGTTCTTACATGTACTGCCATCTTTGTTGTCATCACACTCATAATTAATTAGTTGATGTTGTTAACTAAAAGCAGACTGTTTGAGTGAGAACTTGTTTTATCTTATTTCCCGTGTGTTTGAGTAATGTATTGTGGTTCATGATGTTTGTATGGATATATTCGTATTGCTTCCCTTCTTCAATTGGTTTTGTTCTCAAATATTGATCTGCTTCAATAATTTGTGCATGGTTCTTATTGCTGCATAGGGGTGGAACTGGTTCTTAAAGCAGACTGAAACCAGGCAGGTGTTTTGGTTCTGGAGGGGAACTGGTATTCATAATTGGTCTGTTCTGCCAAAACGTGACCAGAGTCCAGAGCTAGCCAATATGGTCTGTTTTGGTTTGTTTTCTTCTTTGAATAACAGGGTAAAAAGCAGAAATGGAACTGAGAAGCTATCAAAAACCGGTATGAATCGGAAGTGGAGTCGCTTAACATGGTTACGGTTCTGGTTTTTACGTACCCTACGAGGCTTACGACTAGGGGTGGACCGAACCGGGCCAAACCGACCCGTGAACCGGACTGGCCCGCTACTGTGCGGGCCTGGACCGGACCGGGACCGGATGGCCGGTTCCGGGCTTTTAGCCCGTGTTGGCGGGCCTGGCGGGCCGGGCTCGGGCTCCATTTTTGTTGAACCGACCTGGGTGGTTCGGGCCGGGCCCGGTTCATTTTTTTTTTGTTTTTTCCATTTTTTTCTTTTCCTTGGGTAGGGCTGGGTGTTTTGGGGAGGTTTGAGGGGTGGGGGGTGAGGGCGGGGGTCGGGGATTAATTAGAAAGCAAAAAAAATTAAATAGACCCGGGCCTGGCCTGGTCTGGTTTGGCCCGGACCCGGTATTAACCCGAGCCGGTTCCGTGCCCAACAATTTGCAAAAAAAGCCCGCCCGGCCCGGAACTGAAACTGGACCGGCCCGGGTCCATCCCTACTTACGACCCTAATCCCATGAAGGCCATGATTGATCGGTCTAGAGTTGGAAGGGATCTGTCTTGGGTCACCGTTCCACTCAACTTTGCCACTTTGTATTGGTGTAGGGTTGGACCCGGTCAGAGGTTCCGGATCGGAATTAGACCTGATACTGTGCGGGATCGAACTGGTACCGGTCCGGGCTTGGATTGGTGACCCGACCGGGTAAATCACGGTTTGGGCTTGGGTTCCGGTCGGGTCCCAATGGACAATTTTTTTTTTTTAAATCCGGGGTTGGTGGGAAACTAGTGTTTGAAACGGCATAGTAGTCGTTGGGAGGGTTTTGGGGAAGGGCCAAGGGGTCCATTTCCCCCCTATATATATCTACTCATTTTATTCATTTTTCACACTATTCTACATTTCTACTTCTATTCAGATTCTACTATCAAAATCTCAATCACGGATTCTTCTACATTATTTACATTTATACATTCATCTTTCATATATTCTCGTTTAATTATATTTATATACTTATTACTCCCTCCGTTCCCCTATAATTGTACCAGTTTCCAATTTTGGATGTCTCCCTATTATCGTATCATATCATATTTGGTAAAACTTGTGTAGTTCTAATTCATTCTTACTTTATTCCCACTTCATCAACTCATTATCAACCATATAATTCTACTTTTCATAAAAATCACACCACTTTTTTCCGTCTCAATATTAGGGGGATGGAGGTAGGGATGGATTCAGCCTGGGTAAACCGGACCGGAACCGGCCCACCCCGCTACTATTCATAACCGACCTGACCCGCCGGCCTGGGTCCGGGCCTGGTGCATTATACCCGAATCGGGTATTTTCGGGGTGGGCTCCTGGTCGCCAAAATAGGAACCGGCCCGCCCGGTCCGGACCTCCAACCGTCAAATATTTATTTTTTTTAAAAAATAAAACAGCTCCTCCTAGCCGTTGGGAACACTCCCAAACGGCTTTATAGCCGTTGGAGGGCTTGGAGGGGGGTTTAGGGGGTTTGGGCTGGGGTATAAAAAAACTATAAATACTCCCATTTTCTAAACATTTTTCTAGACATTTCCACCAGCTTTAAAGCTAACTCTTGGTCATTTCCAAAAAACCTTCTTTGTCATTTCCACCAAAGGTAACTCTTGGTCCATTCAGCGTTTGGAACTCTGTTAACAACTTCTGTCACCTGTCATGTTCCTGGAGCATCCACTATCAATAAACCATTCTTGTTCAGAGATAGCTCCAGCACAATGTTCCTGCAGAATTAAAAAAAAGATTTAGTTACCCAAGCAATGTTGGGTCCTAGGGGGTCATGGAGTCTTGGTAGTTGGTACCATTTTGGTCTCATCGGGTGAAACCTTGGTGGGTGGTACCTATTGTCCACCTGGTAGTCATAGTAAACTGAAGTGTGATTCACTTTGGGCAGATGCTTGTGAGGGTCATGCTTCCTGTTTACATATTTTTGCATAGTTTTCTTGGTAGGAAAGAAGTCCCATATACTATCAAGAGCAGAAGGGCGGTTAGCTTTGGGCTTCTGAAGTTGACCAGTCAACCTCTTCTGCCTAAAGTTAACTTTCTCTTGATACCTGTCCTTCTGGTGATCATTTCTAGCACGGTCATCATGAGGTTATCTGTTGTGGGTTTGTCTTTGATGTTTTTGAAAAACTTTTCTATTGTTAGGTTTTCTGCCAGGTTCATTAATTTTAGAAATGAGTTCCTGTTGAACCTTTATCTTTCTATTTTCTGGTCTGACTTCCTCATGAATAACCTTGGTGCCAGATACACCAACATGACAAATGGGGCTAGAGATTCGTGGCTCTATGACCTTATCAACCTTAGCAACCTTGGTGCTAGACCTTACAGAAGGCTCACCGGATTCTGTTGCAACATATCCAAGACTAGAAACGGGGGAAAGCATTTGATCAACAGCCTTTAGAGAAGTTTGCATTTTCATAAGGCCATTGAGTCTAACCTCAAAATGCTTAATTTCTCTTATTCTATCAAGAAGAGAAACATTTTCAGCTTCAAGTTCATCCCTTTCCTTAATTAAGAGATTGACTTTTACCTTAGTCTCTTTTCTTAAGTCATAGATTTCAACTTTCAGCTTACTGTTTTCTTCTTTGACTAAAGAATAAGTGGTTTGGATAGTTCTAAACTCTTCCCATAATGATGACATTGCATCATCATTTAAAGCTGTGCCTACCGAAGAAAAACGAGAGTTAGAAGAGGAGGTTACCTCATCATCAGATTGGACCATGAGGCATAGGTCTTCTGTTTCAGTATCCAGGCAACAGAAGGCCTCATCAGAATCAGAGTCAGAACTGGATTCTGTCTCAGAAAGGGGGTCTTTCACAAACTGTTCTGTGACAAGTGCTTTCCTTCTTCTACCGTTTTCTTCATACTTCTTTTCTCCATCTTGCCCTTGTCTCTTGGACACTCTGGGATGTGGACAGTTTGCCTTGAAATGTCCAGGCTGCCTGCAGTTGTAGCAGAGAAGCTCTCCACTGTTATCTGTAGACTTGGTCTTCTGGAATGGTTTTCTGCTGGCAGATGGACTCCTTCCATCTTTTGGTTTCTTCATGAACTTTTTGAATCTCCTGGAAAAAGCAGCCATATATTCGTCAGATAATAATATTGAAGGGTCAAAATCATTTACCTTAGATGTACTGGCTGTGAGAGCTGTGGTGGTACTCTCCTCAGGTACATCTTCCTTTTCTTCAATCATCTCGAACTCATGAGCTTTGAGATCTGAGATGAGATTGTCTGTAGGATATGTCTTCACATCCTTGCTTGCTTGAACTGCAACCACCTTCATCTTCCATGCTGAGGGTAGACCTCTCAGCACTTTGAGGTTGATCTTCTTGGTGGTGAGTTCCTTGCCAAGTTCAGAAATCTCTCCAGTAAGAGTAAGGAGTCTGTCATACATCTTGGAGATGCTTTCACCAGGGAGAAGTTTGAAGTCATCAAACTTCTTATTGTCTATCGTCAGCTTGTTGTCCTTTTCTTGCTCATCACCTGCTCCTATGAGTTCAAGAGTATCCCAGATTTCTTTGGCAGTTTTACACTTTTTGATTCTGTTGAAGTATCTATCATCAATGGACTTGTAGAAGATGTCCTTTGCAATGTCGTCCATATTGTATTTTCTTCTTTCTTCAGTGGTCCACTCAGATTTGGCTTTGTTAATCATCTGTGGCCTTGTGTTGTCAATGGCATGCTCAGGATTCACCTTCTGGAAGTTGGTGAATGACCCTATGTCAAGTACTTCCCACATTTCATCATGAAGAGCACAGAGATGTGCCTTCATCCGGATCCTCCACTCATCAAACTTAAGATCTGAAAACATAAGGTTCTTGGAAAGAGAGTGATCCATTATAATAGATTAAAACAGAGGCAGAAAAACAAGTGGATCTTTGTTCAGCAAGTAACCTAAAAGATTTTAAGAACAAGGAGGCTCTAATACCACTTGTTGGTCCTGGTTAACTGTGTACAATCTAGAGGGAGGGGGGAGGGGTGAATAGACTGTACTGTTTTTTTTCTTTTTCAAGCTAAGTACCAGATTTTAACAGAATAGTCTGTTCTGTTGGCAGAACAGACTGGTAGGGGTTCTGTCCGGTCAGCCTCAGAGAAGCAAAGGCAGTAGGCCTTCTGTTAACTCACATGACGGGTTCTGCTGAACACAGAGACCAAGTTTCTGGAGTTAAACAGTTTAAAGTAAATGCGAGAATTAAATGCAGTAAGTAAATGACACCAGAGATTTTTATAGTGGTTTAAGGAACAACTCGTTCCTCTAATCCACTGTTCCACTAAGCTTGTAAAAACGCAGATTACAAAGCCTTAGCCCTAGCACTTAAGAAGCTCTCCACGTCTTCTTCAAGTATAGATGTCTCATGGGTTCACTTCCTGGCTTCCTTTAAGACTGGTCCTTTCACTGAGCTTCATTGAAGTATTCCCACTTCACTACTCCAGTTACTCAAACGTCCTTCTAGTTAAAGAAGATTTCTTGTAAAACAGTGGTTCTCCAACTTGCTTCATCACAAAAGATATGTTGATGAAGTGCTTGAAGTGTTGAAGAACAAGGAACTTTGCTCTTTGTTGGAATATGAAGATAGGAAAATATTATCTTTCCAATTGAGGCTTTCTTGTTGAGTAAGATGGAGGTTTTTGATCTCAAGAAAGCTTGTTCTTTGAATATGTTGTTTCAGTAAAGGTTGAGCAAGGTTTGAGCAAAAGTTATCCTGTTGTTCTTCGAGTAGTATCTTTTATACTTGGGTTGTCTTCCCG